AAGTGAAGTAGCTGAGGAATCTCACTCGCTATTCATTTAAAGAGAATGAAAGTGGGCGAACATTAGCAAACACGGTTTCGTCGGCTCTATCGACAGAGGGGAATGAAAATGTTAGGAATCTAGAGCTCGATATGAATGACAACTAGTGTCTTTCGCGAGAAAGGAGTGGCCAGACGCGATCTCCGCGAACAAAAAGATGTCTCGGGAAGGCACAGAGAGTCAGGCAAGGGAGCAGGAGTCGGCTACACCGCAAACGAAAATCGTGTCGCCGAAAATTACAAATGATCAAAAGATCGTAGTAAACAGGAAGTCATGCGTTAGTCCTACCGAATCAAATCTTCCTAAATCGGTGAATGGTGGTAGTCGCGATATCCGTGATGAAGTCTCTGTAGGTAGGATTAAACCACAAGGCCCTCTAGTTGATCTCAATAAATGCATAGTTATAAAGGGCATGTCTGTGTCTATTGGCGACACTCCAAAGGACAGAATACATCAAGGCATATAAATATCCCAGGAATAGCTCAAATCGATCTTAATATGAGACGAAAACCTCATAGTACTAAAGGCTTTCAGGACAGGCCAAATAAAAGACACAAAACATGAACCAGACCGACCGAGACCATTAAAAATTGTCCTGAAGAATGACGAACAAGTGCAGATAATGTTGAGCAGGAAATCTGTGATCCAAAATGCCCATTCATCAGTTTTTTTCGGCGGGAATTTTCATCCGCGGAGCGAGAAGAATGGAGGGGACTCAAATTGGAAGTCTGGGAGAGACGAATCTGAGAATACTGGACAGGAAATTTATACGCGTTCAGAGGCCATTCCTCTTGAGAAAGCCCATAACCCTAACAGCATAGGAGTGATGGAAAGCAGTTCATCCCGATCAGCTCGGACCGGATTTGCATTCAATCCCAGGAAATGGATAAACGCCTGCATGCTGGAGTTGCTCGTGCCAAATTGAGATTTTTGTATACCAATGCTCAAAGTCTTCTTTCGAAGACCGACGAACTCAAAGCGACAGTATCAGCACGAATCCCCGACGTCATCGCCATAACGGAAACTTGGCTTAATGCCGAAATCGTGGATGCTGAGATTTTGATACCGGGTTACCAGCTCCTTCGTAGAGACCGTCCAAAGAGACAGGGCGGTGGGGTAGTCGTATATGTAAGGGTAGGAATTTCAGCAGGTGAAAGAGCCCACACCCTCTCCCTTGAATATGAATCCGTCTGGATAAAGATGAAGAAGAGAAATGCGCAAAATCTAGAATTTCTGGCGATTTACAGACCACCAAACCTTCTGAGTGCAGTTGATGAGTCGCAGCTTCATTTAGTCAAAGACGTAGTTAGCCACCAATAGGGACTTATTGCTGGGGATTTCAAGGCACCTGCAAAAGAGTGGGAGACTATGGCAGTTACCGGTGGGCCAGCTTCTTTCAGCAATAAGCTACTGGACCTCACATTCGATCCCCCTCTGGCGCAACACGTGAAGGTACCAACAAGATTTCGAGAGAACCAGAGAGCGAATTGTCTAGACCTAGTTTTCACTTAAGACTGCTCTAATATAGACGAAGTGTTTTCCAATGCACCTCTCGGTAAAAGTGACCATACTACGCTACTATGTGATAACTCGCTCTTCTTTCAACGCCAGAAGAGAACAGAGGGCCAACCTAATATATGGAAGGCAGATTTTAATACGATGAAGAACGATTTGCTGTCTGTGAACTGGGACCAATTACTCAGGGGAGATCCGGAGGGCGGCTGGAGATCGTTTAAAACGAGTTCCCTCGATCTAATTTAGCGCACTTGTCCACCTAAATTACAAAAAACAAGTAGTCGACCTGCTTGGTTAACTAGGGACCTAAATTGGCAGCTATGGAAGAAAAGAAAAAGATGGAAAATATTCAGGGAAACTGCGTCACCAGCGCATTTCGAAGAATTTCGACGTCAACGAAATGCCGTCAAAAAATATATCCGTCAGGCATGGAAGGAGTATGAATCCAAAATTAACCAGCAGGTTGAACAAAGGCCCAAGATTGTATTTCACTATCTTAACAGTTGACTGAAAAATAAGGACCCGGTCGCGGTGTTGAAGGATGATAATAGTGTAGAGATCATTGAGAACAGCGAGAAAGCCGAACACTTAGGACAGTATTTTGCCTCGGTTTTTAGTAGAGAAACAGAGTTTCGCAGTCACAGTGCCAGCAAGGCTGTTGAGACTGCTGGTCCTGTGCTTGACTCCATACTCTTCCCGACAGCTGTCGTGGAAAGGGAGCTGAAAAGTCTCAACGAAGCAAAGTCATCGGGTCCGGACAATATACCGGCGAAATTCTTGAAAGAACTGACAAACGAACTCTCCGAACCACTGGCACACATCTTCCGCTCATCATTCGGAGTAGGGAGGCTGCCATCAAAATGGAAGACAGAAAATATCTTTCCGATATACAAGGGCGGGGCTCGCAATAATGCCAACAATTACCGGCCTGTTAGTCTAAACTGTATCTGCTGTAAAATAATGGAGTCCATAGTTAACAAAGCAACAATGAAGTTCCTGGAGCAGGTCATTTACTCTCAGACCTGCAGCACGGCTTCAGACAGAACCGCCGGGCATTTCCAGTTTATTGCTCTCGACGGAGCAATGGACTCGCGCACTGGACGAGGATGGTAGAGTCGATATCATCTACGCAGACTTCAAGAAAGCGTTCGACAGCGTCCCACACAAACGCCTAATCTACAAACTTTCTGAAATTGGGATAAGAGGAAGGCTGCTGACACGGATAACAGATTTTCGTACAGGGAGATCGCAAACTGTGTGCATTGAGGCCTCAAGGTCAACTCCTACCGCCATTCTAAGTGGTGTACCCCAGGGCTCCGTCTTAGGGCCGTTGCTATTCCTGGTTTACATTAACGACTGCGTCGACGACCTGGGATGCAGCGATATCATGTTTGCTGACGATGTTAAGCAGTGGAGACCCATCAGATATGACGCAGACAGGTACGGGCTTCAAGACAGTCTCAACCGCCTGGACAGTTGGTCGGCTCATTGGCTCCTTAATTTTAAAGTGGAAAAATGTGTGGTCCTGAGACTTCGCACCAAAAAGACCAGTAAGGTGCACGATTCCTTTCAATACGTCCTTGGTGGTCAGCCACTTTCAAATGTTGTGGATCAGAAAGACCTCGGCGTCCTAATGACCTCCTCGCAGAAACCACCATCACAGTGTCAAAGGGCAGCCAAAAGTGCGATAAGGGTGTTATTTGTGCAGATGGATAAAGAGCTGTTCGGGAAAACCTATGGGACATTCGTTCGGTCTCACTTAGAGTATGCAGTCCAGGCCTGGCGACCGTGGTTGAAGAAAGATTATCAACGACTGGAAAGAGTACAGGCAATGGCTACGAAGATGGTCAAGAATCTTCATTATTTGCCTTACGAAACCAGGCTGACCGAACTAAATCTGTTTCCTCTAAATTACAGGCAACTGCGCGGCAATCTCATTCAAACCTACAGGATTGTCAGAGGCCGTGAGTGTGCCCTAGACTTTGATGAATTCTTCCATTTGGCCGGGGCTGACCGTCTGCGTTCTCATCCCTTCAAACTGCAGAGGAAGCGGGCTCATTCAGACGTCCGACGGAACGCCTTCTCTCACAGGGTCATTGGGGCATGGAACGGACTCCCTGATGCGGTGGTTCCTTCCGAAAGTGTCCTTTGAGTGTAGACTAGATGCTCATTTTTTTGAGAAAATACTGTACATATAATAATGATTGTTTTAGCGGCGGCAGTTTTCGCCTGGCTCACACTTACCGCTAACTTTTTAACTTTTCGCATTTACTGATGTAATTGATGACTTCATTTCCGTTTATCGATATGAATAGGGAGCTCAAGGGCGAAAGCCTCATTCCCTTAATACACTGACTTGACTTAAACTCACAGCCCCTCAATGAGTCGGAACTCGCAGAATAGTTATGAAAATTGTTGTCCGCACAGTACCTGGGGCTAACACTTTGTTGAAAACGGTACTTATTTCCATGCTGACAGCAAACAGTACCAGAGGCGTGTCATCTTGCCACTCTCGTTGGCGGACGACGTAGTGAAAAGAGTGCAGATGTAGAGGGCACTTGAGAATAGCCTACTGGCTGCAGGCCTCTGGCGGATAGTCACGTCTCCTTCCATTTGATCTACATCGAAGCTGGGAATGTCAATTTTGAAGAAGACTACACTGGTGATAAATTGGCAAACGCCGTAATGGATGACCTAGTGGGTTGCCCTCAAAGTACTGGACTAACCGGCTGGGAGACGGCCATATCACTAAGCATTACGCAATCGGAAACTTGACCTTTTAACTCCTTCTGCCACCTCAAAATCCTGAAGTACGACAGTGACCGACCCTTCAGTCAACAAGTGTTAGGCGGCAACGCCACTAGTGATACCGGCAGTGACCTAATTCCGACGTGAATTCAACGAACTCGGACATTCTGTGTACATCTTCCATTTTGCACTTTAAGAGGGAATGGCGCTTGTGCGCACGTCTATATGTGGAGTGGAATCAGAAGTCCGCGGTCCCCGATGAGCTCGCGGGGCATGTAGTATTCCAGCATCCGGTTCACCCATGCACTTCCTATCGAGAGCCACGGAGAGTAGGGGGGGGACGCCCGAAAGGATCAAAGTCCTTCCGTGTCGTCAACGTGGAACAATAACGGGAAACCCGCTTCTGTCACTGTCTCCGGGAATGGGTTCGGGCGAGAATCCGAAACGTCAGGCGACTAATGCTCTTGTTCCAGCGGTCGTACTTACTTATGAACTAGTTCCTGGGACTCGCATCTTTGCTTGTATCAGCAATGCAAAACCAAACAAAAACGGCAGAAAAAGTGGCTTAAATCATTTTCTTGATAAAAATCACAAGGACAGAGCAAAAGTCTCACATAACCTTGAAAATAGTATATACTGGTACCAAAAGAAATGCGAGTCAAAGACCGTAGTGACGAAGTGACTGTTCCAGGCCAGTGTCATACATTTGCAAATTCTAAAAGATAATCAAATCGTAGAATGTAGGGGAGAAAAGGCATCCTAGGGCTTCAGGAAGATATTATGCCATGATCACAGCGTTCTAACATCCTGTGTTGTTGTCAGATCAAAATAATGTTATAGGATGATTACCACTAAAAAAGTGGCGGAACTCGAACTAGGGTAATTAAGGGGTCCCATTTATGATGCAGTTGAACTACTAAATTCCCAGCTAAGGGCATTGACCTTCACTTTAACAAAGAACATATGTTGCAGAGTATGGCGGCCGGACTGTCTAGACATCAAGCCACATGCGTGCGTCCAAGGTCGTGTACCTCTGTTCAGACAACCTTGGTGCTGGTTGGCCACCCTTCAGCCTATGAAACTCCCCACCCCGCCAAATATCCAACAGTTCCTACATGGCTCCCTGACTCGTGTTGTCTCGCGTACTCAGAACACGTCCTGTCTACAAACAGCCTTCCGTTCTGCATGCCTAACATTGGCAACAAAGTTTAACTAACATGTCTTCAATGCCGGCCACAAGGTTACATTTCCGGCCAAAAACACTCGGAAACTCTCAGACTGTGGTGAAAGCATGTCACGTGCTCCAAATAACACAGCAGACCTTACCGAAGGTGCCTCTGAAGCCTTGGGCCTGGCCCAATTCGCCGTGGAAGAGGGCACACGACGATTATTTTAAGCCATTGCAAGGCTATATGGCCTTGGTGGTGGTTGACGCCCACACTAAATGGATTGATGCGATTCCGACAGGGAACTCCTGTTTGTAGCGGCTAAGCGATGATGGTGTACGCTCAGTACGCCACTACTTCAGACCATATCCCAAGTTGTTAGAAGCAGGACACCGTTTGGTCAGGACATTTCATTCAGTACAGAATAGTGAAGGCGAAAGTTGGCAACCGGACGAGGGTGCGTCCGGCGGCATCCGTGAGAGCGACGAGCCGTGTGTCGCCGAAGGTCGCCGCTGCAAAAGTGTCGTGGCAGATTTTTTACGCTAGTGTCCGCCTGTATTACCAATCAGCGAGAGGAGTTGCGTTGGTTGGCTCCGAGCTCACGCGAGGTTAGTGACAAGCCTCGCGTGGTGCAGGCAGAGAATCGAACGAATGCGTGATGCAGACAGTGAATTGCAACGAGACAAATCGAAGCCGGGCAGACGTGCGTGCCATAGCAGGCTGTTGCTAGGACGTAGGTGCAGGCGCTAGCGAGAGGCGCGACGTAGCCATTATGGCTGTCCACTACATGTTCTTCACTGACAAAAATCAACAAGTTGCGAACCGTTTTTTCTACCAATGGGAAACCTGAAATTGTCTTTTCAGACAATGGCCCAGCCTTTACTCGTGCAGAATTTAAAGATGTCATGCAGAAAAATGGAAATAGGCATTTAACCACTGCCCCGTACCACGCGGCTTCAAATGGCCCCGCAGAGCGCGCAGTTCTGACAGTAAAGCACGGACTAGCCAAACAGACGGAAGTGGACTTGGCCACGAGTTGTCAAGATTTTTGTTCAACTATCGCATAACACCAAACGACTCAACGGGTGCCTCGCCTGTAGAATTGGTGTCCAAGTGGCAGTTGCACACACGGCTCGACCTGCTCAATCCATCCACGCATGCTACTGAAAAACAGGCGAAGATGAAAGCACGATCTGATGTGAACACCCAAACACGAGTCGTCGCGCCTAACGAAAGTGTCTACACGCGACTAGAACACGAAACGAACTGGTGTACAGCGGTAGTTCGAAAAAGCGATGGGCAAATGGTTGAATTAGTTAAAAGGTGGGGGTATTGTGCGTCGTCATCTGCACCAAGTTCGCGGCCGAATGAGCACAGTAAGTGGAGAATTCGGGAAGCTTGAACTGCCAGCAACCCTTGATAGGGATCCTGGCATCCCGAGGACTCAACACGCACTGCCTGCACAGACACCGACCGAGGCGTATGTTCCTCCTCCTCCTCCTTCTACCCCGGCCAGAACTAACTTAGGTGCGCAGGCACCAGTGACTCCACGAAGCGGTGCAGAGGTCGAAAATACCACCCTGAGAAGATCGACCCGAATTCGCAAACCTGTCCAACGCTCTCAGGACGAATTCCATTTCGATGCTGTCTTCTTAAGGGTGCAGGGATACAGAGTATGATGCCCCGACTGTCAGACATCAAGCCACATGCGTGCGCGACCAAGATCATGTGCCCCCGTTCAAACAACCTTGATGTTGATTGGCCACCCATCAGCCAATGACATTCTAGAAGGCTCCCCGACTCGTGTTGTCTCCCGTACTCAGTACACGTTTTGTACACAACAAACCTTCCGTTTTACATACATAACATGTGTCACTAGGCATATTAGACAAAAGGCGAAAGTAGCAAGAGAATATACCAGAAAAAGTCGACAAATGTAACAATCACTTAGACAAAGACTGAGGATAGTAAATCGCAAAGCAAAAAGAAGCGTAAGATCGTGGCTGCGCACAACATGCTTCGTTAGAGTTTGCTTGCGTCTAAAGGTCTTGCTACAAGTGACACAGGTGTACATTTTCAGTCCTGAAAGACAGAATACAAACTCGCCAGTTGGTGGAACAGACTGCTGCCTCCTGAGGCCAGCATATCTTCATAAAAAAAACAGCAAACTTGTATAAAACTGCCCAAAAAGCAGTCTCGACGTGATTGGTGACTATTGCTCGTGAGATTATGACACAGAACAGCGTGGCGGTACTCAGATGTGTAAGTTTTGAGCTACAGAACATTCAGCAACCCTGAGAAAGGTTACTACAATCGATCAGCAAGAGTAACTAACTGCGACATTCCGTAAAGTAGTAATCCCTGCTCACTACCTTAACTTTGCATTGGTCGAATGGTTATCGGATTCGGTTGGTGTGAGGGTTAGGTGAACATACCGTTGCCGCATAAAGCAAACCCCGGCCTTTCATCAACAGAGTTGACCCTAAACCGAGTTGACATATTTTATCCGAAAAACGCACAAAAGCACACATGAAGCCATTCTCTAGGAAATATTTGACGAAAAAAGGATATGCAGTACCTCCGTGGACATCGTCGAAATGCCTCGTAAGGTCCCTCCTACATGAAAAACCTTCACCACAAACTTCACAACGTTTTCGGGGACCTGAAAGGCAAAAAGACATGATCTACAGTACCGATCCGTGCCTGCGTCACTACCGAAGTCAAAACGGCCGGAGATGAACGTGGACACAAAGGTTGCACAGCCATTCACACGTTTTTGGGTGTGTTAACGGTCCGAAACGTAAATCACCAAAATAAATAAAGCGTACCATTGTGGAGACGTGCAATGTGTCTCTGCAGACTTGTCTTCAAGGCAAATGTCGCGCAACAGGTCTCACACGCAAACGGCCGCAGTTCTAAAATGAAAGTGAGAAGGTAGTCAGGTCAATGGCTTTTTGCGAGACCTGCCCCGGAAAATTCAAACAACGGGAGGTGTCAGATACAGACTAAGAAACACCTCCTGTGCGCTGCCCGTCTGTCGTGTACACGGCCGCTAAACAGTCAGGATACGATGCAGGCGTGATTTAAAAGTTAAACCGTTCTCTAGGACCGTGCTATAAGACAGAAGGAACTCTTGGCAGGCCAAATATTAATCTCTTAGTGAGTACGGAAATAGCAAAGTACTGCATCGACGACTATAGGCGCTGAAAGTCCCAAACAAAAACAACAAAGACAAAAGAGCAACATAAACAAGGGTTTCGGAGGACTTGATGAAATGCCTCTTGGGTTGCTATGAATACGCATGGGTGAACTGGAATGAAGGCTGTGGTCGTCTGGTTAGAGAGTGGGGTCGTGATCCTGGCTTCTGGAGAACATGTATTCCTGTAGACAGTAGGTGGTGCTATTTCGGCACGTGGAGACCGCAACGTGGAAGAAGTATGTGGGACAGGTGACCATGTCGCAGACGCACGGGTGTCCGGTACTATTTACACATTTTGCATATACGTGGATGATTGCGCGGTGAATCAAGTACTCGAACTTTGGCCTCGACAACGGTCTGCGGATAAAAAAACCGCGGGGACCAGACCGCCACACGGCATGAGTTCACCAGGCGAGCACATTACTACAACTGTACATGAGACAAGACGGTGGCACAAATAGATTTGGGCCTCATCACCGCCTCAATCAATGCACCCAACTCAACACCAGCTGGTTCAGAGGTTCGGACAGTCGTCTGGTGAATCAGAGGGGCACGGGCAAGTGGGGACCGACACCCGAAATCCATCCACTCAGGGCACTCCTCAGAACACTAGATCTGACGACAGTAAATCGATCACGACGCGGCACGAGTCGTGACTTGGAAGGTTGCCAACTAAGTTGATAACTCGATCCACTTCAGAATTGACAATCAGGTCGCAATAGCTCCCTATTAATGTGGAATTTATGGTACTGTCACGCATGTGAGGTCTGAGCCACCCTAACAGAACCCAGGCGGACCAGGTCGTATGCAGCAGACGTTGACGGGCTCCTTACCTTTTCCAACTACTGCCTCCAAGCACACCTGCAGCTGTTTTGACATTTTCTTGTATGGAAGCCTAGTGGGTGACGAAGAGGGCGTGACAGATACTTCGCAAGTCTTCATAACTGTTGCTGACGTTTATCATACCCAGTAGTTCCCGAAATCGTCCCCGAAATCCCCCTTCAACACCTCTCCCCCTCCCTCTATGAAACGAGTTCTACGGAGATGGTGACATGCAATCTCGTCAGCTATCCCGACTAACTCCAGCTTTCTTCTTATTAAACAAAAAGTTTTGACTCATTGTGGATGCGCGCACTCATCCGGTACGATTAAACCGTCTTAATGAAAGCATGGTGTGTCCACAAAAACAGGAAGCGGGTTAAAAAGGTCCCCTAAAATATGCCATCGTAAAGTCGACTGTGACATGTACGGACAAAAAAATGAGGTCGAAAAATTCCAAAACTCCCCGGGCCCATTGCCGTGCCTTCCCACAGGCTGCCAAGGGACACTAATCAATCTGACAACCTTGAATATTCGTCCCCCTTTACCGTCGGCAAAATAGGACCGTCCTGGTCGTCCACGAGCTGGCAAGTTACAAGGTAGAAATTGGGACTTGAAAAACGAGACACGATCTTTCTTAGCCTGAATTTTAGGATCCTCACTGAAATCCATCATCAGAGACAAAGTCAGAACCTTGTCGCAGTCGGGAAGCAATGCAAACCCTGGAGGCGCATGCCAGGGTCGAAACCCAACTTGCATCAGTAGGTAAATTTGTATATCCTGGAAGTGTAATTTCAAGGAATGTCAAGATAGGTGACGAAGTGATTCAAAAAAACTTCAAAGGAAGACGGACCTTCAGCCGGCTATACGACGAAGTCGCCGTGGCCTTCGTGTCAACACGAAATTGAAAATGCACAGGACGGCAGTACTAGCGACGCTGACCTATGGAGCAGAGAACTGGAAAGGTTACGTCAATCAATGCGGGACAGTCAATCATTTCCACCTCGGCTGCCTTCAGAGAATACAGAAGTTGAGGTGGCAAGACACGGATGTCCCGGGAATAGCCGAAATTCTCAGCATCAACCGGTACCCGTTAGATGACTCGGTGGCCGCTGTCAAGCAGACAAGATACGATTCTGAGATCCGATAAGTAAAAATCGGAAACGTGCGTTCGCCGATTTGAAACGCTGAATGACATATCCCTGAATGTCTAAAGGGAGTAAAGAGGCTACCTTCGGCAGTAGCTTACTACTACACGAAGACTGGATATCTGGTTTTGGTGCCGGTTTTGTAACATGTTCGAAGATATAAGTTTTATGCTCGGATAACCACCAGAGCATACCAACTGTCATTGAGCGGGAAGGTTAGTGGCAATGAGACATAAAAAATGCTCACTCCATCTTCCCCAGCCTGCGCTGCAAAAACAAAGCGATATCATTTTGACATTCAGCATTAAAAGTTTATTTAAGTTATAAAACTACTGTCCATATTTCAGTAACGTTTTCTTTTTATACTTCCTATTGTCCGAAACGATTGTTCCCAGTGGCATTCACTTAGACGTCTGCAAACAATTGAAACCATACAATATTCTCTGCAGCACAATCATCCATAGACAGACTGCTGTGCAACGTATTGAGTAGTGCCAGTGCTTCTAATACCTGGAATAATTCGGATATCTGCAGAGTTCCGATAATCCTTCGGCACCTGTCTGGTGTTTGCATTTCCCACTTTTTCATATACTTCTGCTTGTAACCGATGGGAAGTTCAAGGGCGAAACACGCATATTTCCCGTAAATATAACTGAAATTAACAAACCATCATCAACATGGACTACAAGCGTTTATCACTTCGCTCTAAACAATAACGACCGATACAAGCTGCCGCCAAAAACATAAATGGCGGTACAGCCAACGTACTACTATTCTACTTCACAGAAAACAGAAGCACAGAGGACAGACAAATGACAGAAAAGGAGCGTACTTTCGTGGATTGCGTCGACATGCGTCTTCAGAGCTCCCTTCGAAATAAAACCTGAGCCACAAACTTCGCACGTAAACGGCCTCAGTTCTAAAATAAAAATAATAACCTCTTCAGTTTGACGGTTTTTCGCGTGGGCCGCACAAACATGTCCAAACATCGGGGGCTGCTTGAGACAAGTTAGAGATTGCCAATCCCTCATACGGTAGTTGCAGGCCTTGAGGTGCGGCGTCTCAGCGTTGGGCAGTTTCATGACAAGCAATTAAATAAACGCAGGAAGGCCGCAAGAATAGTTCCTAGTCACTCCTGTCTATGGAGACCCAAAGCAGTTCCAACTGCAACTTCTCACTTTATCCAAATCCACATATTTGCGATCTGTAAATCTAACAGGTCGGACAACACTGATAATAATTTCTGCAAAATATTTTCTGAGATCTCCACGACAATGCTGACACCATGCAGTCTGGGGGGGAGGGGGAGGGAGGAAGTACCGGGGGCCGCTAATTGAATTGCACAGTATTCCGGCAAAAATCAATCCCATGTGCAGGGACAACTACCGTCCAATCGCCTCACGAGATCTGGTCCAAACAACCCCTCTCAACCATCCGATATTCGCTCTGGTGATTGACAGGCCTGTAACCTGTCGTCCGTTCCGGCCAACCACGTCACTGAACAGGACATAAAAAGGGCCCTACGCGGCTTTCACGGTGGTGAGTGTGGACGCAGACAACAAGCATACCTCCATTACGCTGCTACTTACTGCTTTTTCACAATTGTCAGGAAGTGACCACCACCGCCATCATCCTCGCAATTTCTGCCCTTACTTTTGCTAATAATACTACTGCTTCCACTACTACTGCCACTACTACTACTACAACTACTACTACTACCACTACTACTACTAGTACTACTACTACTACTACCACCACTACCACTACTACTACTACTACTGCTACTACTACTACTACTACTACTACTACTACCACCATCGGTCAGTCTTCCTAGTGAAGTGGCTTAGGTTTATTTTCGTCGTCCGCCTCATGGACACAGTGTTGCCGGGGCTGATCCGGCGCCGCTGCCAAACAGGACGCGTCGAAAAAGTCAACCAAAAACCTGGCTCGACACAGTTCGTCAAGAGATGGAAGTTTCTCCTCTTGTAATTATATATAAAGTAGTAATGCTGGCATATCCTCAGCAGCAACAGTAATACCGACATGCAGCAACCAAACTGAAAGATGGACCGAGTGTCATTCGCCCCCTCCAAACACCGCGTTAGGGATTATGCCGGACGATGGGTGAGGCCCTGTGACGACTTCTGTACTAGGCAATAGAGCAGACATGTTAGATGGGGATTTCGCGTCGCGTCAACTAATCCGCCCGGTCGTATCGCTGATTGCTTTGAGCCAGGCTCATTTGCTTAAAAGAAATCTCGCACTTAACCCCTCCCCCCCGCCCTTCCTTAAAGAATAATTAAACAAGCTTTTGAAAGATCATATCCAGGCAGTAGTCGTGGGCTCTGAGGACGACGGCTATCGGAGTAGCCTGTACCGCGTACGAACCGATCTATGTTTAGAGGTTCCCACAAAATGCAGCCCTTATGGAATTTCCCAATGGTATGAGGTTAAATATGACAACACATGGACATGGCCCATTCTAGAAGTGATGCTGAAGGGGGAAGGCGAAGGCCGGTGGAACATATGCATGGAGGACCGCGTTTACCTCGAGGGTAAGAGTAACGGTGTCGGACGCCGGACAGTTTACAAGTTACCTTATACAACTAAATGTCCAACGAGTAATACGGACTGTCGCCGATCAACGGCAAGACAAAAAGCGCCAACGAGGAAGCCTGAACGAGATTTAAAGCAAATTTATCACAAAAATGAAACAGTATACCTCACGGGAAAGTGGAACGCACCTTTGTGGACAAAGTCGATATGTTTAGCAAGTGACGACTTATGAACAAAAGCTTTGCCACAAACCTCACACACAAACTCTCGCAACTCTACAACAAAGACAGAAAGGGAAAAGAGAGGTTAAGACCACTTCTAGAATGCCGTGCACTTTTACTAATGATATTGGACGTTCACATTAAATCATCGAAACATCGTCCAGACAATAAAAAGCTCAAGTAACTGGACCGGGGCTACTACTTCAGCAAAACCTGTCACACCACACTTCTGGTCGATTCTCTCCTTGCACCATGCGAGGCTTGTCATTAATCTCACGTGGGCTTGGGGCCAATCGACGTAAATCCTTTCGCTAATTGGTACACAGGCGGACACAGTAAACTAGTTGTGTAAACAACCTGACTCGACACTTTTGGAGCAGCAGCTTACGGCGACACACGGAACGTCGCTCTGGCGGACGTCTTTGCGGTGTCCGACGCATCCTTCGGCCAAGTGAGCAGATGCGAAAATGAAACAGCCAACTTCTGCAGCTGTCACCATGGCAGACAGCAGCAGCAGCTGCGGCAGAAGGGCGTCCTTCATGTCTAAACACTGTACCAAATGGCAACAATGGTGAGAGAAGCAGATCAGTCTCGCGGCAGGAATTCCTGAGACTAAGCAAGCCTTTCGCGATTCAAGGTGGATTTTACCAACAAAGCTCAACCATGCAAGTTCAGGTCAAGCTATGCAGACTGTGGAGAATAGACTTCCAAATACGTTGCCATCTGAACGCCTCTCTCTTGTACGAGACATCCTTTCGCTCATTGTGATCATTCCTGGGTGGTTTTTACGCAGTCGCTATGCTACTGTAAAGCCAACGATGCAATTTGCACACTTCCGACTCTGCAGTTTACCCCAATTTTTGAGTGGATCAATTTGTGACGATAAAGGATATGAGGCCAACTTAAATCACACACAATAATATCGCACCAGCTAAAAGCGTAGCGTGGCCCTAACCACTACAACCTTCTGGCCTGGCGCCGAATAGGAAGAGATAAGGGTTGGACGCCATTTAGCGAACGGATTTATTCAGCACAGAATAAGGGAGGAAAGCTGACAGCCGGACGTGGATGCGTCGGGCGCCGAAAAGACGTCCGCCAGAGCGACGTTCCGTGTGTCGCCGTAAGCTGCCGCCCCAAAAGTGTCGAGGCAGGTTGTTTACGCAACTGGTCTACTGTGCCCGCCGCCTGTGTACCAATTAGCGAAAGGATTTACGTTGATTGGCCCCAAGTCCACGTGAGGTTAATGACAAGCCTCACATGGTGCAAGGAGAGAATCGGCCGGAAGTGTGCTGTGGACAGAATTGCAGTGTGACTAATCGAAGCCAGGCAGGCTGCCGCTGGGGTGTATGTGCACAGGCACTAGAGAAGGGCGCGGCGTTGCCATGATGGCTGTCCGCGCATCACGACGATGCCACGCAAATTTATCACAAAAATGAAACAGCATACCTCACGGGAAAGTGGAACGTACCTTTGTGGATAAAGTCGATATGCTGATTCAGTGACGACTTGTAAGCAAATTCTTTGCCACAAATCTCACACACAAACTGTCGCACCTCTACAACAAAGACAGAAGGAGAAAACAGAGGTTAAGACCACTTCTAGGATGCCTTGCATTTTCACTAATGATATTGGACTTTCACAGTAAATCATCGAAACCCGGTTTTGACAATAAAAAGCTCTAAGTAACTAGATCGGGACTACTACTTCAGCAAAACTCGTCACCTAAATAGTCTCCGCAGCCGTCCCATGTCGATTCAGACCGAGCAGCAGCTGGCCAAGAGAGAAAGCTGTCACAAAATAGCGCGACCTGCAACAGGGGCACCATACAAAGGCCAGGCACTCTGTTGTGATTGGCGGTAAACTGTGGATAGTGTCATACTGGAATGCTGGTAATAGGGGAGGGGGTGGGGATTACGGGTGGGACAGCACACCGGATAGTAAGCTGACAGGACGCAGGAAAACATCGAGGACGGTCGGTGGCAAAAACTACTTTCGGGTAAAATGATGAGTACACAGATACGTTGTCCAGTTGGATATTGCATGGCGTACCATCTTTAAAGAATGCCTGACCATCGAACAACTGAGCCTACCACCTTACAGACATTTCTGTTGTTCTTCAATTCAAGCACAGTTGGTGTTTTTTTGTTTCTGAGCATCTTGGCTACAACTGCCAGTCGTCAGTACTTCATCAGATTACGTAAGTACATATATCAGTACACGATCCACAGCTAATTGGGGTCCTCACCCTACCGTTGCCCTGGTTTATATCACGGCAAGTCTTCAAGATATTCTCTAACCGCTGTCACTTAAGTCCTCGTCTACCGGTCACGGCAAGAACCTGCTCACTTAATAGCCGTTCGGAGGAAACTCGCCTCTCAGATACACGACGCGGGCGTTCAATGGAATCTGAATACCGTGTTGAGGAGAGCCATCATGGCAACGCCGTGCCTTCTCCAGTGCCTGTGCACATACACCCCAGCGGCAGCCTGCCTGGCTTCGATTAATCACGCTGCAATTCTGTCCACAGCACACTTCCGGTCGATTCACTTCTTGCACCATGCGAGGCTTGTCATTAACCTCACGTGGACTTGGGGCCAATCGGCGAAAATGCTTTCGCTAATTGGTACACAGGCGGCGGGCACAGTAGACCAGTTGCGTAAACAACCTGTCTCGACACTTTTGGGGCAGCAGCTTACGGCGACACACTGCACGTCACTCTGGCGGATGCCTTTGCGGTGCCCGACGCATCCACGTCCGGCTGCCAGCTCTCCTCCCTTATTCTGTGCGGAATAAAGGTGCTCTCTAAATGGCGTCCAACCATTATCTCATCCCAATCCGGCGCCAGGCCAGAAGGTCGTAGTGGTTAGGGCCACGCTACGCTTTTATCTGGTGCGATATATAGTTTGAGCTGACCCCACATCCTTACAGTTGTCTGCTCCGACGACTCGAGCCAGGTCCCACAATCATGAATCCTTCTGCCATAGACGCTGGGAAGACCAAAGTGTTTTCAAGCCGCATCCCTGACCAGGGGAGGGCACCTCTCGGGGTTGATGGCCGTCAACTTAAGGAAGTGGACAGTTTTAAATACCTCGGGGCAAGGCTGCTGTCGAGTGGACAGAGTAAGGACGACATTGTCCCCCAAATTGATGCTGCGTGCTGTGTTTTCTCACGCCTTAGGGAATGCCCATAGGTCCGACGCCACGTCTCCATCGTCACTGGGATTCGCGTGTAGCGTACATCTGTCCGGTCAGTTCTTCACTACGGTTGTAAATGCTGGGTTGTGCGTGTGAACAAAGAGCGAAAACTAGAGGTATTTAACCACCACTGCTTGAGGACCATTCTTCTAGGAAGATACGCCGGCTTTGCCTCATATGAGAAATTCCGCGCTTGCTTCGACAACAATGCAAAGGTAACCCGAGCCGATAACAATCGGGAGATGGCACCCGAAAAATCCGTTACCTAGAAATAATACCTTTATCAGTGGACTCAAACGCCTTCTCGCTATATCAGCGGTGTCAGGCCTACTTTCACGGACTACTTGGACTTTCCCCGACGACCTAACATGGGCTGGCCGAACGGACATCGCAGGAGGTTACATGGACGATGGTCTCTGTTACCCAACCTTCCCCATCGTTACACACGTTCACCTGAATATACGGCATACATTCGCATTATGGCAGTTTATTACAAAACAAAATCACTTTTAAATAGGATAAGTCTACACAACATGGGACAGAAACAGTTCCCAGGCATCTGTCAAAGACATGGCATTGAGGCCAAACCAAAGACGATACTGTACTTCGTCTATGTGAGCCCACACAGCTCGACCACATACAGGGCCCCCCTCGTAGAGTTCCCTTTTCAATCTACTCTAGTATGCCTCAATGGCATTGATGTACCGTCCGATGGCAGGGTCCTTGAAGTTCTTTGAGTGGTTAACAGAGAAATGTAGATAACCTTCTGAGGGAAGACGATTATACGCCTTCCACTCGTCCATTACTACTATACTGCCTTAAGCGACCCATTTTGTAATAACGGAACGGACAGCGGGCCAACTTCGGCTTTCCGTCGGCTGGTATCGTACATCCCGACCAGCCACCACCCATAAAACCCCTACTACCACCTGTCCCGTAAGACAAGCTGCCTTGGTTAGGCGTATTTCTTTGGGTGCCATCGCCCGATTGTTACCCCCAAGCCGTCCGAGAGAGACGACTGGGAGGTTTGGACATTTTCTCTGTCGTCCACTTCAGGAGCGCAGTACTACTGCCCCCGATTCGGCACCGTTACCCCATTGGAGGCGTCGAAGATGGGGTCAACTCAAAACCTGGTACGACAAATTTCGTAAAGACCTGATGGTGGTTTTTCGATTTTAGGTATACGGTCTTCGTTGTTGGCTAATAGAAGGGGTTCATGAGTCGAGATCTGCTGCTGCAGATCGTCACACGTGGAAAGGTACAAGTCAGCCGGCTAGGTCATACATGATCGCGGCCATCGCAAGAACAAGTATGTACAAGAGGGAAAAGGCGCGTACTTTTGTGAACACAGTTGACATGTTGCCTCAGTAGGCTGGGTGGCTGAAAGACCTTGCCACAGAGCTCGCATGCATCCCCTTGCACTTCTGGAAGAAAAAAAAGATTCGCAGTGAAAAAAGAGAGAGTATCTCCTTCGGACAAGTGAGCAGAGGCGAAAATGAAACAAACAACTTCTGCAGCTGTCACCATGGCAGTCACAGCAGCAGCTGCGGCAGAAGGGCGTCCTTCATGCCTAAACACTGGACCAAATGGCGACAATGGGAAGAGAAGCAGACCAGTCTCGCGACAGAAATTCCTGCGTCTAAGCAAGCCCTTCTTTGCAAAAGTGCCAATAGCCTGCACAGTGAAAGTGAACAGCGAGAAGTAGGCCCTCTCGTTGGCTTCCTCGTTGGTACCCCTTCTCGACAAAGTCAAAATACTGCATCCGTCCTCGAAATAAGCAATCCATGAGCAATGTTTAGTTAGCAGACACCTGGTAGGCCTTCATACCTGCAGTTAGACTGCGAGGAGGGGTGGGGGGAGCGAAAGCCCCATCGACCCGAATGCCTATCGCAGTCTCAGAAAGATAACGGGCCGCATACGAGGCCTCATTCACAGACACAAATGCCATCTCTGAATGTACTGACGACGCAGTTTGGGGAAGGCATCCAGGGACGACGCTATTCTCGTTGGACTACCTGATAGTCAACCGGCGCGTCCACAGCCTGCGGCCAGCGCGGCAGCCTTCAGCGGAGGCCAGCTGCGCTATAAGCAGCCACTCGGATCTGGCAAATAAGGAGGCTCGGACCAGTAGCAATAATACTACCGGAGAACAGAGGTCTGAAATCTGGCATGCCGACTATCTTATAAAAGACAGGTCTGGGATTACGACCCCAATCGAGGGAGAAGGCAGTAGTAGTCAGTGGTCATCAGTCTGTGGGACAACTGAGAAAATCCTCAGAGGCACCCTGCAGTGACCCTGTGGCTGCATCAAAGAAAGAAGTCTACAGTTGTCAGCTCAGATGGCCGGAACCAGTTTCCCCAATGACAATTCCTTCCATAAATGACAGTTAAGTCGGCTATGGAAGACCAGCACAAATACTAGGCTGAAACGGCAACCTCCATGGAGCAAGCTCCAAATTCTACCGAATTGGCCGCCAAGTTGGTAGTAGGCCCACCGCTATGAATGACTCTGTTCGCGGTGTGAATGACGGCCTCACACTGGTAACAACCCACTCAAGGTCGAGCGTTGGGATGAACACTACGAGCGTCCAATCAACTTCCATGACCAAACTATCAGGACCTCGCTATCCTTTGTACTAGCCTTTCATCACTCCAGTCCATGCAATGTCATGTGGCCACGCTGTGAGGGAAAATCGCCAATGTAATACCCAGGCTGCACAACAATAATTCTCCCAGAGGGGACGGTATTCTCAATGAGATCGACATGTCCTCTGGCGTCCCTGCTCTATGCGTGAGGCTAGTGAGCAAGACTCAGATATGAAGTCCTTCTTAATCACTGCGGCCCCGGTATCCCTCAGTATGCCTTAAGAAGAGAGATCAGAGAAAGCGCGAGAACTACCGCGGCATAAGGCGAAGGTGTTACCTGTTGACCTCCTCCTGCAATTTCAGGGTGTGCTTCACTTTGGGTTGAGACGACACCAAGAAACTACCAGAAAATTACGGCAATCTATCCTGATGACCTGGCTGCAGAGTTCGCTCCCTTCCGTCGTGAGTCCCTGAGGCCGACAATCGAAATGCCAGGTGAACCGACAAAAATCCTAGCCATGAGCAGGAACAACTTGCATGTCACCACTGCACAAAATCTGGTTCAAAGAATCTTTTTCAACAGATCTATGCTTCATTTATCGTTCCTAACGGTTCCACCTTGTCGCCTGTTCCGTTCAAACACGACATTAACTGGATTGTCAGAAGGGTTAAACACGATCTTTGCAGCGTTGACGTTGCGTGCAGAGGGCACCTGACTGAACTGGACTGCGCTGTTGCTTGCAAGCTATTAACAGTCCTTCCAAAGTGCCCGTGGAGCCGACCCAACATCTCCATCACCACAAAAAATCTTCATGTACCGGAAATCTGCGAAATTTGTCCTATTAATCAATGGGATTGGGCGCGTTCCTAGTCGTCTGCCTAACGACCTGTGTTGCTGCCCTCGATCTGGCACCAGTGACAATCCGGATGCGCCAAAGAGATCGACTCGAAATCTGCCTCGACACAGCTCTCAAAGATATGCAAGTGGTTATCGGACCTCCGATGCTTGATCAACGTAGCTGCAGGAGAAAGTAAGGTCAAGGTCTCCAGATTCGCTGTTACGGATCCTCACGCGAGTAGAAGTATGATTTGTGAGATCATCAAGTCCGGCCGGAAAAGGCATGATTACAGCCGTGCCAAGTTTAAGTCCTGACTTCGTCTTGCTGTTGATACACGGCGTGAGTGCGATAGTGGGCCTGAGACTGGCTACGTCTGCTTTACCAACAATAAGTTCACCACCAAAAGTTACAACGCCGCATTGGAGACGGCGCCCAACACGAGGGTGACGTTTGTATGTTCGCCCGGTACATTATTACAAGGGACAGTATGGACATGGCTTCAATATAACCCAAACCCCCGTGCTGGACGCCTTAGTACCTACACTGAACAGGTGCCTTTCGCAGGCCTGATGGGATAAGCCCGTGCAATCCAGTAATGTCGCTCTGGATGGAGCAACAATCAAATGGTAGGGGGCGCTCACCGACCGTTCTTACGGAACTCACTCGTTCCTTTGTGCCTTACGGGCTATCTTTCGAGCCCAACCAGCAGCCGCACAGCGGCGCATGATATAGACAGAATGGTATTACCGATAAAGACAAGGGAGAGTGTCTTCCGTCTCTCTGTCGGTAATACCATTCTGCAACAATCAAAGTCTACCAGCCAGTCAGTTTTACCTGCGCTCAGTGATGTAGCATGGAATGACTATTTGGAATGAAATTAATAGCGTATCTAGAGCACAGGCAGCTACTGTGCGGTGTCCAGGAGGGTCTTCGGCGTGGTCGCTCGTCTTACACGTGTACTTTATGCGTGGGAAGAACAAGCGGCGCACGAAGCAGACAGATGGAGGTGACTTACAAATTAAAGGTCCTCTAACCTGATGCCAAAAAAGGGAATAAAGAGTATCCTCGTCGCCAGGTCTACCGTCACTCCCCTGGTGAGCATACAGGTGGGGAAATATTTCGAAAACCGGTAAGGGCGCTGAGATCTCGAGGTCAAAAATACTGTCCACAAGCAGGGCAGCATAACAAACCGGCGCATAGGAAACTGGCACAACATTACACGAGGAAGAAGAAGTTGACGAGAAGCTGTCAACCAGGCAGGGGAAAAAAAGGCTTACTTCTGTGAACAGCGTCGATATGTCGCTTCAGTGAGAAGCTTCGCGGAAAAACCTTGCCGCAGAACTCGCAGGTATCATCTGGAAGGAAAAAGAGGCTCCCAGTGAAGAAAGAATCTCCTTCGGCCAAGCGAGCATATACGAAAGGAGAGGAGAAAATAAGATCACTCATCCAGCAGCCGGATATCAGCTTCAGGGTCGTTTATAGGGGAAAATGCATGCTCCCTATCATCAAGCTGCCTCGACAACCATGTTCCATTAGAGAGATAATGTATGGGAAGAGGTCAAAGGCATGGATTCGAAATCCATCCATCTCTAAAAGTACACTTTGAACGTTGATATGCAAACATGAGAGTTTAAAGATCAGTTTACAACCCCGATACAGGCTGCTGGGGTGTCTGTGCGGTTATTCGGATCGACATGATCCAGAGGAAGGCAGAATGTCGATTTACTGGCTGGTCTTCCTAGATTACTAGGCTCCGTTTTCTGCTGGTCCGCCATGTCCTCAATTCTGGGACAAGTTCGCGGTGCTTCGTTCTTTTGGAAAGCAAGTAATCCGGCAGTCGGATCATGTCCTCGTTTGCACACGCTTGAAGGTTCCCCTCTCATCCGCGCCAAAAAATGCACGTCCTGGGCGCCTTGATGTCGCAAAAATCCAACAACCCAGCACTGTCCACACCCTGAGCAAAGAAATCCGGTCCAGTTTTATGACCCGAGACGACAGAGAAGGCAGTAGCCAGTGGTCGTCACTGAAAACGTCCGTCATGAGGCCGTTTAGAAAATCTTTGGGTATACCCGGCGACGCCCCAGTGACTGGACCAGCGGAAGAACCCTGCAGTTGTCTGCTCAGACGGCTGGAACCAGGTCCCATAATGATGACTCCTTCTGATAACTGCGGAAGATGACGTCAAAGTCGGCCAGGGATGAGCGGAAGCAAAATTCGGCTGAAATAGTGACCTCCATGGAACAGGCCTCGAACGTTCGTGACACTTGGAAACTCTCAAACTTGTACGCCAAGCTAATGATAAGCCCCCTGTTTGCGACGTGAATGGCGGCTTTATTGCTAACGACTCGGCCAAAGTCGGACGTTGGCGAGAGAACTTCGAGTAGTATTTCAGCTTCGATACACAACGCACCCTGCCCTTGCTCTCATCTGAGACGGAGGCTCTTCCCGCTCTAATCTACGCAGTGTCATGCGACTCCCCCTCCGAAGGAGAGGCCGCCGATGCCATACGAGAGCTACGCAACAAAAAGACACCCCGAGAGGACGGCATAGCCACTGAAATCTACAGGTTTTGTGCCGACAGTCTGGCGCCCTGGCTCTGTGAGGTGCGTGAACAAGCGCGCAGAAACGAGGTTGCTCCTGCTGACTGGGGCTTAGGCATCCTTGTACCTATCCTTAAGAAGAGAGATAAGACGAGGTGCGAGAACTACCGCGGCATAAGCCTTATCGACATTGCTGCGAAGATCTTCGCTATTGTTCTACTCAGGCGATTCTAGGCTGTGCGTGACTCTAGGACGGCGCCCAATCCAGTCGGATTTTGTGTTGGACGTGGATGCGCGGATCAGGTATTCACAATAAGGCGCATTCCCGAATTTCGCATAGCAACCAGCAACCGATGACCGTCTGCTTTGTTGACTTTGCGCCGCACTCGATTCCGTCCATCGTTCGTCCCTATGGCGGATAATCCCACTAGATGAGGTACCGCCAAAAATCATCGCTATGATCAAGACCTATTGCCGATCCACCAGTACCCGAGATCTGATTCATAGCATTTTTTCCCAACCGTTTGGCATTTGGTCTGGTGTTCGACAGGGTCGTATCCTGTCTCCCATTTCGTTGAACTACGCTATTGACAGCGTTCTCGGGAGGGCTCTACATGGTGACGGTGTTGAAGTTGCACCCGGACACCGACTGACTGATCTCGGCTACGCCTATGACATTTCCTTACTTGCCTCAAGTTTTGGTGATCTGCAGTCTATGGTGACACGAGTGAACGAGGTTGCTAAATCAGTCGGTTTATCTATAAACACTGGGAAGACTAATGTGTTTGCAAGCTGCATCCCTGACCAGGAGAAGGCACCTATCGGGATCGATGGCTGTCAACATGAAAAAGTAGACAGTTTTAAATATCGCAGGGCGAGGCTGCTGCCGAATGACCAAAGTAACGTTGACATTGTCTCTCCAATTAATGCTGCCCGGCGGGTTTTCTCGAGCCCTGGAACATGCCTATGGATTCGACGTGACCTCTCCATCGCCACAAAGATCCGCCTCTACCGTGCGACTGTCCTTCTTTATGGTTATGAATGCTGGGCTTTGCGCGTGCAGGACGATCGAAAACTTGAGGTATTTGATCACCACTGTTTGAGGACCATCCTTCAAGTGAACTACACCGAATTCGTCTCAAATAAGACAGTCCGCGCTCGCTGAGACAACATTGCAAGGATAACCCTGGTCATCCAAGAAAGGCGACTGAGGTGGTTTGGGCATGTTCTTCGTCGACCACTTCAGGAGCTCAGTTCTACTACGCTCGATCCGGCACCGTTACCGTATTGGAGGCGCCGAAAAGGGGATCGACTCAAAAGCTGGCTCGACACAGGTCGTAAATAGATGGAAGCGGTTTTTGGATATTAGGTATAAGGTCTTCGTTGGTAGCGAAAAGGACGGATTGAACTGTCCTGTAGCGGATCGTCACGCATGGCGAGGTACAGTTCAGGACATCATCGCAGCCGTACCAAGTAAAAGCACAAGTAGTCCGGCTAAAAAAAACTCTTTTGGGAATGCTCCAATCGAAAACGCCACAAAAAGTTACCACGCCGCTTTGGAGACGGCGCCGAACTACAACACGAGGCAGACGTTTGTATGTTCGTCCCGGCACATAATTATAAGGGACAGTATGGACATGGCTTCAGTATAAACCAAACCACCGTGCTGGACACCTTAGTACGTACACTGGAAAGGTGCCTTTTGCTGGCTTGATGGGATAAGCCCGTGCAATCCAGTAATATCGCTCTGGATGACGCAACAATCAAAGTCCACCAACCAATCAGTTTAACCTGCGTTTAATGCTGTAGCATCGAATGACTATTTGGAATGAAATTAATAGCGTATCCAGAGCACGGGCAGCTACTGTGTGGTGTCTAGGACGGCCTTCGCCGTGGTCGCTCGTCTTACGCGTGTACTTTAAGCGAGGGAAAAACAACCGGGTCATTAAGTAGGTTAATATGACTTGACGCTATACAAGAAGCGCCCTTGTGGATTCTACCACTATTGCCTTCGCGAACACAGTAGCGGCAAACATTTCAGAAACCAGTAAACGGACTGAAACAAAAAACAGCAAAAACAGGCGTCGCCAAAGAAGCCAACGCAACATTACATAGGGGAGTGGAAGATGCAGATAAGCTGTTAACCAATGAGGGAAACGGCGCTTACGTGTGTGGATATAGTAGACATGCCGCTTCAGTAGTCCGATTCGTGTAAAGAAGTCGCCACAAATCTCGCACTTGTGATTTCGCGGAGGTGGACTGGAATCTGGGCCTAAATCCAGAAAGAAGGAATCACGATCACCTTTGGTCCGGCGGTTAATGCGTAAATAAACTGGCATGCTCATGTAACAGCATCCAATAGGAAGGGGACTCGGTCGCCGCCGCCACTACAGAAGCTGCAGTGGGAGATGGGAAGCCTTCACGTCTAAACACTGTACCAAAACCCAAAATAACGACATATAACAGAATCAGGTCAGTCGCGGAGGAAGAATCCAGCGACTATATAAGACTTTCTTCGCAAGTTTCAAAATATAGCGCAGCAGAGCTGAACAGCAAGGAGTAAGCCCTTACTAAAGGTTTCCTCACGAGAACATTTTCTCGGCAAAATTTATGTACTGCATTCGCACTGGAAATGAGAGAGAAAAAAATGAAAATCGAGGAGCAATTTCAGTTAGCAGGCAGCCCGGAAGCCTTGATAATTTTAGGATCTGCAAAGGCTACCATAGTAACTGCCCATTTGAATCAGAATCAGTCTTTCGTCCACTTGAGCCGACCTCCCCACAATTACACACATGCAAGTCTGCGGGTACACACAAAACCATGAACCGTGTATAAAAACCAGAATAATTGGGTAGTACTTCACTTCGAAAGCCTTAGGGAGCGACGGCAATATCTACCTAAACTTAGGCCCCAAGAAACAAAAGTGCGCTGCGAAAAGCCGCCTATGCAATCCCTGGTTGTACTAATGGCGCAGTCACCTAGAGGACCCGGTCATGAGGACCAGTCTGCAAAAATGCTGTAGCCGGAAGGGAAACGGATAATCTGAAAACAGGTCCGAGGACGCTGAAACTCGGGACTTAAGATCCTTCTGCCCTGACTTGAGGCAGGCGGCTCCCTGACCCTACATGGGCGCAACCGGTTAAGTAGCATTGAAAAAATGGGAATGCAGAGGGGCCTTTTCCCACCATTTCAACATGTACATAACGTATTGTTCAGAAGAAATAAGTTCCTTGAGAAAGATAAACAAATTTATTTGTACATTTTCGACTTCGGTTCCCGAAGTCGTCCTCAGACGTATTATGTTGAGTAATGATGCAATCCAGGACGTTTTTTGATCTCGACAGAACACTAAGGTGACAGCCAGAAAAAGGTTAGAATACAGGCATCAAGAAGTCACTCACACGGACGAAAGCCGCCTTCGAAATTGCCGGTGCGCTTCTTGTAAGAAGAGTCTTCTGTCTCACGCTTAGGATGTGGAAGCTCTGTCAAAGGGTTACAGTGAAGAACGATGAGTGACAAACCTGAGGTGTTTGCCTCTGTAAGTGTTTCGTGACTAACAGCGTCGATGGAAGTAGACACATTGTTTTCCGTGTTTAATTCGTCTGCTGACACGCTGAAAGCAGTCGAAGGCGACGACTTCCGAATCCTGACATCATTTGATATTGGTAGCGATGTCGGAGACGGCGGAGGTTGCCATTCGTCACCGCTGCTTGTACAGTCACTTTCACTGAATGCACATTCACGTTGGGGAAGGAGCCGACGAACCTGACGCTTTCGATTAAACCAATCCCGATTAGGGTCAACTAAACCTTACACATTGATCCGGATGGCCTGACTCATTAACCTAAAGTCGCTACAGCTACCATTCACAGGCTGTAAAGATTACCTTAGAACGTCCTAAGGTCTCAGTGGGATCTGTTTCTTCCTGTAAAAGGAAAATTGTACAACAGATAATGATAAGAAAATACTCCAGTAAAGCCGAACAGTAATTGGCATAATTTCAACCCGAAGGACCGCGGCGGTAAAGCAGTAACAAGCTTGCCTGTTTGACTCTAACAAGCAGTAGAGAGGGGACAGTACCCCGCGCCCCTTCAAGCTTCGCCATACAAAGTGTGAGCGAATAAAAAAGGCGATGTGCGGACGGTGGTCAGAGTGCTGAACAGTGATTAATCGAGCGCGCAACCTACAAACCAAAAGGTAAGAGGTCAAGTATAACGTTGCCTGGCTAAAACAAAAGGCAAAAGGTAGCGTGTTAGAATAACAAAATAATATGGTAGTCACAGTAAAAATACGATTGCGAATTGCTTTTCAATAGTGACATTTTCAATGGAATATCGTAAATAATGACCGTTTGTCGTACAATTCACCAGTTACGTAAGTTGAATGATAATCAAATTCCTATAGTCGATATCGCCATATCAAACGGGATGACATTTCTGGACGGAACATTGAAGTCAAAAGCTATGACAACTCTAGACTCTGGGCGAGCTAAGTTAAACTTTCAAAACGAGTGATTATATAATAACTAACTACCTAGTTAACTATACTAACTAACAAATTAATTTTCGGCGATGTGCGTGAATCTGTCAATGCGAGTAACCAAATAGTAACTTCTTACTTGACTGACTTTCTTAATGACATCCTCCGGGTCTCTCAGTGACAGAAAGTATCACCCAAACATAATTTCACAAAAGTTTTACTCAATAATAATCCCAGATGCCGTCGCAGCTCACGTGAAACTGTTCGAGAAATCACTCTCCAGCACTCTGAAACCCGTCCGCATATCGATTTTTTAATCACTCGCTACTGGAGTGTAATACTCGGGTTACCTGTCTGTTTAGCCTCGTCTGAATAGGTACCCTTAGTGAGTGATTGGCACTGGTCGTCCTTAGGTTTGTCTGTAGACATATCTGCTTCTGAACTTCTTTGCTTAGGGATCAAAAACCCTCAAACACACGGACTTCAACAGAGATTAGAACGGAAAACATAAAAACGGAACATTTTTTAAACAGGAATCGGGGAAGTTATGGATTACTGTTTATTCGGCCAAAAGGGTGAAGGGGCAAGACAACGGAGTGGACAACCAGAAGCTGCGGCGAGACCTTCCTCTGGTTTATCCTTCCTCCGAACGGAATGTCGGCATACGTATTTCCTCTCTCAGCGTGTCCGATTTGTGATCCGTCACTTTTGCTTCAAAGGAAGCGGGATGTCGCTCGACGAACTAACGGACAACAATGTCCAGTCAGAATCTTCGTTCTGAATTTTTCACGCAGATGATAGTGGAGAACTGGAAAAACCGCCCTTAGTCAGACGTGGAGTCCACGACACTGCAACTCTGCAAGAAACGCTTGGATGATTATTTGTGTCCCCTGCTTTCCCTCGACAGCCTGAATCTGAACTAACACCCCACAACCCCGCAAATATTTTATCTGATACAATGTTACTCAAATGTATCACGCACTGTTTTAATAGTGGATATTGTTATTGTTTGTGTGCCGTCATTTATATGTATATGTATATTGAAGGGTTACAGGCAGAGCCCTTGATGACCCTATTTATGTACAGTGCTTTCGCAGATTCATGCTCAAAAATAAAATAAAATTGCAGGCATTTAAAATGTGATTTGGTCACAGTTCGATCGTAATCATAAGGT